TTGTTTTACAACGTCGTTGCCAAGCGCCGAAAACCCAACCCCGATGGTAAACACCGGGGGGGAGGTGGGTTTACTAAATTATGTAAAATTTGTTGTTAGAGTAACTATTTTGCACTTTGCTCGCAGTACGACACGACTGACTTGTTTTATTTCGACCTCTGTAGGGGTTAGGCGTCGTTTCACTTTTCTGTGTGCCCCCTTGAAACACATCATGTGATTTTGGTATGCTGTTCTTAATGGAGTACCGTATATGACACAAGATATCACGCTTCCCGGGTTTTCGAAGCTCGATTACTCGACGACGAAGAGGATGCACAAATGAAACGATACGTTTTCGGAGCGCTCCCCACCAGACGGCTTCAACGCCGCGGTTTTCGGCGCTGAGGCTACTTCTGCTGTTGATAAATCGAGCATCGAGATGAAAATCGGTCCAGGGGGTGTGTCATCTTGTGTCGTACACGGTATTCTTCATGGAGTAGTCGAGCCTATGGTTTTAGTCCTGGTGATGTGGTGCTTTATGGTCCGTCACGTAGAGTCGTTCAGGGACACACATCATTCACATGGTTTTTGGTTTGAACAGGTGTCCCTATGCCGGGGAAGCGTCCTTCAGGTTGATACCCCACCTTGTGTTGTACATTCTGCGGGGTACCACGCCTTGTGAGAATTTGGTATCCTCAGCGAGGGGGGGGGGGGGGCGTCCTCAAAAACACCACGCCTGGTGGTATCCTTAGCCGGGGGAATGTCCTTCAGAAACGACTGCTGTACACATGCCTGACTGTTTTGAGTCGACTGACCCGTAACCCGCGCCTCGTTTTTCTCTATTGGGCATCGACGGCGATGGCGATGACAGCGGCGGAAGGACGAGGAGACGGCGACGAGAATAGCGGTGCTGGACGACACGCACCGTTTGAGGTACAGGGGGGTGATGCAGTGTAGTGAACCTCCTACCTGTATATCCCTGTTGTGAATAACGACGCCCGTGGCCTGGCAACGGTGCTGTCCCCCCCCCCCCCCCCCNCCTGTTGTGAATAACGACGCCCGTGGCCTGGCAACGGTGCTGTCCCCCCCTCCCGCCCTGGTCCTTGGTCTAACCCCTACGGCATGCAGAACGTTGTTTCTATGGGAATGCTTAGGGCAAGAACCCGCCGCGTAATTCACACCACACAATGCCTTGCATCAGACCGCTTGCTGCTGTACCCCCCCCCCCCCCCCCCCCCCCCCCCCCCCCCCCCCCCCCCCCCNGTCTCGATGGACATGTTGAGGGCAAGAACCCGCCGCGTAATTCACCCCACACAATGCCTTGCATCAGACCACTGGCTGCTGTACCCTCCCTGGTCCTTGGTTTCGCCGGCCATGTTTAGGGCAAGCACCTGCCGCGTAATTCACACCACACGATGCCATTCGCCAGACCGACCCCCGCTGTACCCACCTGGCCAATGGTCTAACCCCTTACGGCATGCAACGAATGGTTTCGCCGGCGATGATTTGGGCAAGCAACCGCCTTCCTCACACCACACAACGCCTTTATTCAGACCGCTCGCTGCTGTGCCCCCCTGTTCCTTGGTCTAACCCCTACGGCATGCGAAACCTATTTTCGCTGGGCATCTTCAGGGCAAGAACCCGCCCCGAAATGCACACCGCACGATGCCTTACACCAGACCACTCGCTGCTGCACGTACCCCCCCCTACCCCCCTCGTATAGATTTTCGTGGACCCGGATGGCTCTCTCGGCAAGGCCGCCCTTCAGGAGCGTGAGCACCTCGAAGCCGAGAACATGCCTCCTGGTGGAAACCCTTTCCTTGGAGGCGGCCGTAGCGGCGGCGGCGGCCGCGGCGGCGATGAGAGTGGCAGGGGGGAAGGAACCGTTGACAGTAGGGGGGGGTGGGGTGGTGTTGGCGAGGACGAGAACAGGGAGAACCTGGGATGTCCGCCCAACCCGAACGCGTGAGTGGGGTGTTGTGGTTCGGGAGTTGCTACGATGGTGTTTGCCACGGTTTGTTTTTTGTTTGTTTGCTTTTCTCCCTGGACTCTGTCGTCGTCTGCCCCTCTGGCCCCTATCCTCCACTTCTACTAGCTAGACGACCCAACCGGGGTCACACAGGAGGGGGGGGGCTGGAACCCCTCCTGCGGTTCATGCCTGAGGTATTTTTATCGCGAGAAGGGTCCAGCAATCCCTTCCCTCGCGACTTATGAAGTCGATTATGTTGGCCGGTGATTATTATGATGGTGTTGGCGTGGGCTGGTGCTAGCGGAGGTGTGCTTGTTGTTTGGGACTTGAAGGTGTTGCGCGTGGTGTTGCTAGAGGACGTGCGCTTGTTGTGGCATGGTGATGTTGGGGGGGGGTTGTTGTTTGGTGATTAAATACTCTAGTGCTGACGGCGGTGGTGTTCTTTGGAAATGCAAGACGACCGTCTGCTGTTCTCCTGTCGTCTCTTGAGGGGCTGGCTCTGTTGTCGCCTGCTGCATGCTGACCTTTTCGAGAGAAGTGACACACAATCTAGTTATCCACGCCTTAACCACTCCCCTTCCTAGCTATCGACTCCTAAACCACTACTCCCCTTTCAAGCTATCCATGCCTAAACCACTCCTCTTCCTTGCTATCCACGCCTCCTATCTACCTCTGTACCGTATATGACACAAGATAACACACCCCCTGGACCAATTTTGAATGCTCGATTACTCCACGACGAAGAGGATGCGTAAACGAAACGATACATTTTTGGAAAGCCCTCGACGAGACGGTTCCAACGCCGCCGTTTTCGGCGCCGTGACGCTGTTGTTGAGAAATCGAGATTTGAAAATCGGTCCAGGGGGTGTGTTATCTTATGTCATTTGCGGTTTCTGCCCCCCTTACCACTGCTTTTTGCTCCTTCCGTGCCGTGTTCGCTCCGTGTTGTTTTTCCTCCCCGCCCTTCTTTAGATTATTCCTTTCATCCTTTCCCGTTTACCGCTGTCTCTTTTTCCGTACCACGGTATATACTTTTGAGGTTGTTTTCCACCCCCGCCCCCACCTGGCCCTTACTAGGTGATCCACTCATCCCCCGCCCCCCTCCTATCTGCCCCTTACGGTCATTGCTGTTTTTTGCAGGAGGAACGTCCGTGACCCCGGTGTCGAGGCAGGGGTTTTCCGAGAGCTGGAGGTCCCCTCGGCCGTTTCCGACAGCAGCGACGACGGCGCCGATAGCGACGACGATGACGAGGGCAGTGGCGTCGGCGGTGGCGGCGGGAGTGGCGACAACTCTTCGGGTTCCGCGGCGGCGACAGCGGTCGGACTGACGAGGAGCCTGCCAAGCAACGATGCCAACCATGGTGGTGGCGAAGCCGCCACTGCCGCCGCCGCCGATTTACCGAGACGGCGTGCCCGCTTGGGAGCGCTCGCGGTTGGCGGAAGCGACGGTGGCGGCGGCGGCGGGGGGCTCCTGGCGCCGCTCCGTGATCGCAGCTCCCAGCCCACACGGTTCACGAACGCCGACGTGCTCCGTGGTATGTCGAGAGCCACGACCGCGCCAGCTTCGAGCACTACCGGCCCCAGCAGCAGCATCAGCGACAGGGTCACGGCTCAGGCTCCCACCGGTCGGCTAGGGGGTTCGGATGCGGCGGCGGCGGCGGCGGCGGTGGGGGAGTCCTCGGGGCTTGGTTTTGCTGTGTTCCGCGACGACGCGAGGGATGCTGCTGCTCCTGCTGCTTCCGGTGCTATCGGTGGTGGTGCTGCTGCTGGTTCCGCTCAGGGCTTAGGGTTCCCCGTCTTCGCGGATGCCGCCGGTGACGGTAAGGTCAGCGGCGGCGGCGGTGGCGGCGGCCTGGCAGGGGCCTCGTCTGATCTAGGTTTCTCCGTGTTCAAGGACGGCGATGGAGACGCGAGTACCGGCGATGTCGGTGTCGACGATAGTGCGGCATCGGCGGCGGCGGCGGCGGCGGCGGCGGAATCAGTGGCCACGGCGACCCCGAGTTCTCCCGGCGGTTTGACGTCTGCTGAGGCTTCATCGGGCGGCGGCCTTGGGTTCGCCGTCTACCGGGACCGCGGCGGTGATAGGTCTAAAGACGACTGCAGCGGTGGCAGTGGCAGCGATGATGCGTCGGCTGGTGGCGGCGGTGGCTTTCCTCGATCGATGCCAATGGCGGGACATGCTCCGGGGTTCGCCCGAGCGGAGAAGAAATTGCCAGGTGCCGTCGTGAGGGTTTTTGGGCGTGGTCCTGCACCTCCGGGTGATGATGCCGCTGGTGCCACGCCGGAAGTAGCAGCAGGCACGGCGGCGGCATCGTCGTTGCCGTTCCCGGTGTTCGTAGACGCAAACCCGCCTCCCGCCGGAAAACCCCGGAATCGCGGCGCAACCGCCGCTTTCTCGGCACCCGCAGAGAAAGCCTTAGAGGAGGAGCTCCCGCTGCCCCTGCCGGCGCCCGCAGCGGCGGCGGTTGTTATGTCGCCGTCCTCGCGCAGGCGCGGAGGAGAGCTTTCCATCCTGGACGACAGCTACGAGTGGGACCCGTCGGCCCCGGGCCACCTGTCGTCCTATAACGTCTACGACGACTCCCCGACCCGGCTCGACGACGACGCCGCTTGCGGCGGCGCCGGCGACGCAGTCCGGAGCGGCGTCGACGTCGCCGTTCCTAGGCACGTTCTTGGTGGGTCCTCTGCTGGTGGTGCTGCTCGTGCGCAAGTTGAGGCTACCCCCGCGTCCGGCGGCGGCGGCGGCGTTTTTGAAGGAGGGCGTTTGTTTCAGGACGGTGGCTCAGCGGTGACGGTGTCGGCGGCGGGGCGGGGAGGGGGGGAGAGCTCCGGCGGTGTGGTGATGCCGGCGGCACCGCTGAGTGCGTCCCTGAGGAGGAAGAGCACCGCGGCGGCGGCGGCGGCGGCGGCCGGCGGCGGCGGCCAACGCCTGTCGCGCATTTCTGAAGGGGGGGGCGGTGAAATTTTTCGCTCCACAGAGAGGATAGGTGGCGGCAGCAGCGGTGTCGGTCGGGAAGATCACGCCGCGAGCGACAACGTGTCCTCGTCTTTGATGTTCGATGGCAACGACAGCAGCGATGGGGAGGGCCTGGACGGGTACTCGGTATCGCGCGCGGGGTGGCTGAGGCCGCGTACGCCGGCGGGAGCCACCGCCGGCCGCGGCGGCGGCGGCTGCGGCGGCGGCGGCGCGGGGGAATCCTCGCGGCAGTCCTTCGGGAGCACGTGGGGCGGGTGCTCGACCATCAAGCGCCGACCCGGGGACGATGATTCTGGGGCTGGTTGGAGCTCCGCTCGCCGTCGCGGGGCGGTAAGCGCGGGGCTCGGGCACCACCACCAAGATGAGGAGGGCGAAGGCGCCACCCGCGGAGTAGGAGGAGCTGAGAGGAGAAGCAGCGGTGGTGGCGGCGGCGAAAGCGTTGCGGACGGCTTCGCGACAGAGAGATCGATGCACCCGGGTGCCGGTGTTGGCGACAGCAGGTGGGGCAACGGGAGAAAATCATCGTCCTCTGGCGGCGGCGGGCCGTATGCCGCGGGCGAGGCGTCCGTGGCCAGGTCTGTAGCCGCTGCTATTGGCTGCGACGGTGTAACTCCGCTGCCTGCCGAGCGCGGTGGGGGACCCCGGGAAGACGGTGCGGCGGCAAGAAGAGCGAGTTCCAACCCTTACTCCGGCGGCGGGGGTTCCGCCGGGCGGGGCGGGAGGGGGGCCTCCGCGGTCGGAGAGCGGGTGCCGGGTGGGCGCGCCGACTACCACTCGCTCTGCTTCTCGAGCTCGTCTTCTAGTAGTGTCACCACCACCACGCCGCACAGCAGCTCGCTGTCGGCGTCGTCGCCGTTCCCGAACCTGCTGGACGGCGGCGTGGACGATTCGACTTCCTCTACATCGTAGAATGGAGCCGGCGGTGCTACTGCTGCGGTGATTGATGATGACGGTCATCATCGTCGTTGTTCTTTTCGGGGGAGGATTCCACTTCCTCCGCGTCTTAGCGAAGTTGGAGGTGATGCTGCTGCTGCTGCCGCTGCTGCTGCGGTGATTGCTGATCGCAGTCGTCGTCGTCATTGTGGTTGGCGGGCATCTCGATCCACCGCTGAACCTCGATGGCGGGATGGGTGCTGCGATAATTCATCAATGGTCGTTGTTGCTGTTGGCGTTCGGTTTTATTCCAAGGCTGAAGCGGTCATCTATGGCGGAGTCGGTGCGGTGGTGATCTGATCTTTCGTTGTTGTTGCGTTTCGTTTTTTCGTTTCGTTATTGTTGCGTTTCGTAAATCACGGGTATCGATTCAGATCTGCGGTGGTGTCATGGTCGTTGTCGTTTTGTTTCGCTTCATTCGACGACGGAACCTCTGCGGAGTTTTGGTTCTGCGGTGATTTGGCCATTCATTATGGTGTTTTATTTGAAGTTTAGGAATCGATCCGGCGTGGTGGCGGCGGTGGAACTGTCTGCCTCGTCGAGAGCTTTCCGAAAAAAATGGGTTGACTTAGTTCGTACGTCCTCTTCGTCGTCGCGGAGTAATGGAAGGGGTAGGATCTTTCGTGTCTCATACAGAGTACCGCGCTGTCGAGAGGTTTCCGAAAACACATCGCTTAGGTTGTACGTCCTCTTCGCCGTAGAGTAACAGAGCTGTGATCATCGGTTCGGAGTGGGTGGGGTACCCTACGTATCTTCACTTTCTGCTCACCCCGACCCGGACTTGACGCTTGGTATACCGCGGTTAATAAATCGAGTGTCGGTTTTCTATTTTGGCCTACTGGCGCGAGTATTGTTACTAATATATATATAAACTGCTGTGCGCCACATTTCCCGTCTCGTTCGGAAGCGGTTCAATGACTGCCAGCAGTAATTTCGGTTTGCGGTGGGGGGGACAGTGCGCGATGGACCCATTGTCACACACTGGAAGTAGCTGGCAGGAAATGCCGATGGCTCGGCTCAGTGCCTCTTGTAACTCTCTCTCTCTCCCTCTCTCACTCTCTCTTTCTCTCTCTCTTTCTCGCTCTGTATCTCTGCCTCTCTGCGTGGTCGACGACTTTTTCGCCTCGGCGAAAAGTCTAAATAATAAACTTGAGGGTATCACGGAGCCTGTATATTGAGTAGGGAAGGGTTGGATCAGCTTGGTTGGATACATGGCAGGGGTGAGGGGTTGGATAACAAGTGAATGCGTCGAGGTAGATACGGGCCTGGTGGTAGGTAGCATATCAGCTCCGGCAGCAAATGGATACAATGCTTTGCACGCGTCAAGTTTGGGACAAGGTTCGTTAAGGCAGGGTAGTTATCGATGCAATCTCAAGATCATGAAAAAAAGTTCGGGCAAGAGTGTTTGTAGGGTGGCTACATCGACTCAACAAATCAAGCCCATGTTTAAGTATTCTATTGAAGTTTCATGTGGACTAGTTTCTCGTCTCTCATTGGTCCGGGTTACAACGCGGAAGAAATAAGGCTTGCGCGCATGTTGAGTTTTGGGACTGCAGATTTATCCGTGCAGGTGACTACCCACTCTTTACTTCCAAAGATTTTTTTTCTTGCTTCAAGTTCACGCAAACGTTTTTTTTTTTCGTCCTATACGTAAATAACACACTGACAAGTGCACATCTCACCACGAACATGAGGGGGCTGTCGCCATAATAAATGGGACGAACATAAAATATTATAATACGGCGATGGAGGCGATGAACATTGCCCTTTTCGTGGGTTGCTTCGTCGTAGACCGTCTGTTTCTGCGCGAAGGCGAACTGCTTTCAAAGAAAGCCTGCACAAGTAGTCTACAAGTCGTTGTGGTTTATGTGATGGGGGTTTCGAAGATGGGGTTGCTCCTTCCCGCGGGACTATTAGTGGCGGGTGCTGCTCTCTTGGCAGCATAGTACCTTCGGTCTGCTTCTCCTCTGTATGTTGAATGATAATCTTTTTGTGGTTTTCATTGGGGGTTGATTGATTGCTGAACGCACGATCGGCTTGTGACCTGGTTACACTCTCTCGCATCTCCATGCGGTGGTAGGCCTGACTCCTGCCTCGGTCCCGTCCTCTGGGCTTTCTCTGTAGTGGCGGGGTTCCGTGTGGCGAAAATGGGGCACCAAATGCGCCACACGGAGCATTCCGAACGTTACGTCTGCTTCCAGTGCGACCTGCAGCTTCAACAATTTTTATGTATGTTGAGTACAAGAGTTTCAGTTGTGTCTTCACCCTTGTAGTCTAAAGCTGGCAGCAAACATTCGGCCATCACACATGTCGTAGTCGTTAGACCATGGACCTCGCATCTCTACAATCTGGCGGGACGGAGTGATACGTGTGCCGGCTTTCCGCCGGCCGGCCTCGGCTTCAGTTGACGAGGATGGACCAGAGATATTGGTTGATCATCATCGCGTTTGCTGTGCCATACTACGGAATCCCCATGGTTCGGCATGAGGTCATTTGCTGACCACAAAAGGTAAGACTGTAAGAACGCTCATGGCCAAAACGGAAGAGAGGCGTTAATTGCCACCCCAACCAAACTGCACAAAGAAACGTGGAGTCCAAACCATGTAAAACCAATGGCTGGACGAGGCACGAATGATCAAAGTCGAAAATTAATGCGACTAGCCACCCTATATCTCGCACAGACGGGCGATGATGAAACACAAACACACAGCACATAAACAGAAAACACATAATCATGCATACAACACTAGAACTCGGGATCTCGACTATGATGATGTAGTCGACGCCAGGGAGTGACGATGGCGGAAAGAAGCCCAATGAAGTGGGCGATGGCGAACGTCGATGAAGGCCGCAGGAGAAGGGGACGCAACGGTATAGAAANGCACATAAACAGAAAACACATAATCATGCATACAACACTAGAACTCGGGATCTCGACTATGATGATGTAGTCGACGCCAGGGAGTGACGATGGCGGAAAGAAGCCCAATGAAGTGGGCGATGGCGAACGTCGATGAAGGCCGCAGGAGAAGGGGACGCAACGGTATAGAAATCCGGAGCATGGGGCGTAGTCAACCCATCTCGTGATGGCCAGGCTACAGAAACAAAGGTGGCAGTTGGAAACGACGGAACTTGGGGAACTCTTTTTCCAAGTATCCAGAGGCAAACGTCACCGACGAAACGTGGGGAACTCGTTTTCCAAGTGTTCAAAGGCAAACAACACCACCCATGCTTCGACTACTTCGAATCGTCGACGATGCCGATTGTTGAAAGCAGCGAAACGAAAACTGACGAACGCACAAAAAAATAAAAAATAAAAAATAAATAACGTATCCAGGTCGCGGCAATCGATAGACGAAATGCAAGCAACAAGGAAGAAAGAAGCACAGAGAAGGACATGTCCAGGTCGCGGCGATCCACGGGCAGACGCAGGCAGACAAAGAATAACGACATCAATCACAATCCAGAACGGGGAACTCAACCAAAACATACTCGAAAGGGAGAACACTCGCCCTATTCCGGCAGCAACGGCGGTGGACTTCGAAACGACCAAACAGAACACTGGGAACCGAGGACCGGGTTTGCGCTTTTGGCAGGTCTTTTCATTTCTTTTCATTTCTTTTCATGTCTGTTCTTTTCTTTTCTTTTCTTTTCTTTTCGGTCCCAGTTTGTCAAACAGAAGTGAGCAGAACTAGGAAGACAACACAAACGCAAAAAAAGTAAAAAAAAACGGAGCAAGAGAAAACAAGACGCAAGATCTGAGAAAATCAAATCGCCAATGAAAAGTAAGGCATAAAACAAAACAAAACACACAAAACATAAAA